GCTTCTCACCGAAGAAGAGGCTGCCAGTCCGTGTGTTGGTGCTGAGAGGAGTGCACTGATGGTCAGCTAGCTGTTGCCGAAACTTCATCTCCTATCTTTAGCTCAACAGTGCTGTTGTTCAATACATCTTCTCTGAATATCCCTGAGGTAAGCACTAATGATACTCATGTAACTAATGATGTTATAAGTACATATAAATTGCCACCAAGGCAAAATTGTGGTGTACCTCCTGACAGGTTCTCTCCGGAGGGAAAAGTGAAGTATCCCATAGCCAATTATGTGTCCTGTAAAAACCTTTCATCCGAACGTCAAGATTGGGTGAATAATGTGGATTCAATTCAAGTACCAACTCGAGTAAAGGACGCTTTGAAAAGTTGAGAATGGACTGAAGCAATGGATGAAGAGATGAGGGCATTGCAGAAGAATAATACATGGGAAGTAGTTGAGTTGCCGAAAGGAAAAAAGCCAATTGGGTGCCAATGGGTTTTTACAGTTAAATGAAAGGCTGATGGATCACTCGACAGTTATAAAGCAAAGTTGGTGGCGAAAGGGTATACTCAAACATATGGAGTTGATTATCAGGAAACTTTCTCTCCTGTGGCTAAGATGAATACGGTACGAGTCCTTATCTCATTAGTTGCAAATTTGAATTGGCCACTGAAACTGTTTGATGTAAAAAATACGTTTCTTCATGGACATCTAGAGGAAGAAGTGTATATAGATTTCCCTCCAGGGTAGAGTAACGGAGAAAAATCAAGAGTGTGCCAATTGCAAAAGTCACTTTATGGGCTTAAGCAGTCAACTCGTGCATGGTTTGGGAGGTTCACTCAAGCTATGAGAAAGAATGGGTATTATCAGAGTCATTCTAATCATACTTTATTTGTGAAGTGGAGAAATGGTAAAGTAACAACCTTGGTTATCTATGTAGATGATATGATAATAACAGGTGATGATTCAGATGAGATTGTGAAACTGGAGAAGAATCTTTCTACCGATTTTGAGATGAAGAGTTTAGGTGACTTAAAGTTTTTTCTTCGAGTTGAAGTTGCTCGTTCATCCAAAGGTATTTTCTTGTCTCAACGAAAATATGTTCTGGATTTATTGAAGGAAACAGGTATGCTTGGGTGTAAACCTGTGGATACTCCAATTGTGGAGAAACATTACTTGGGAATTTATCCGGATCAAGAACCAGTAGATAAAGGCAAATATCAGAGGCTGGTAGAAAGGCTAATTTATTTAGCTCATACCTGTCCGGATATAGCCTATGCAGTAAGTGTAGTGAGTCAATGGATCATATGGCAGCTGTTATGTAGATTTTAGCTTATCTGAAGTCGGTTCCGGGAAAAGGAATTTTGTATAAAAATTTCGGTCATTTAAGGATTGAGGGATTTACCGATGCTGATTGGGCGGTGATGTGACTGATAGGCGCTCTACTTCTAGATACTTTACGTTTGTTGGCAAAAATCTAGTTACTTGGAAGAGCAAGAAGCAAAATGTGGTGTCAAGGTCTTCAGCTGAGGCCGAATTCAGAGGTATGGCACATGGAGTATGTGAGGTTCTTTGGTTATGTAAGTTACGTTGGGGTCTATGTTTCAAAGCAAAAGAGGCCATAATCTTGTATTGTGATAATAAATCCGCACGGGAGATTGCAGAAAACCCGATACAACATAACAGAACAAAGCATGTGGAGGTTGATTGTTATTTTATTAAGGAAAAGCTTGAGAAAAGATTGTGTTAATACCGTTTGTGAACTTGGAAGAGCAGCTTGCGGATATCCTCACTTATGCCGTGTGTAGTAGATCTTTTGGTGATTCACTTGTCAAGTTGGGCATGTGTGATATCTATGCTCCAACTTAAGGGGGAGTGTTGCCGTGAGTAGTAATTAAAGGGTATGTAAATATGTTGTAAATATTAGGAATCCTTTATTATGAAGGATATATGTGTGTGTCCTTTATTGCTTATTGTTTCCTTATAGAACAAAGATTGTATCTTGTATATATATTTCAGTTATGCAATACAATGAAAATTAAGCCGTAAAATTATATTGGATCTTCTAGTATTCCGAATACAATCTAATAATGGTTTACACAATCATGCATGTCTTATAATTAAGGGTTAATCTCTGTTTACTACCCTCATGTTTCGTGGTTTTCAACATTTAGTACATCAAGTTTTTTTCATCCCAGAGTCATACCTAAAGTGTTAATTTTGGGACAGTTTCATACATCCGTTAGTCAAACTGTTAATTCTCCCGTGAAGTAATGATGTGGCGCTCATATAGACAATGACTGGGCCCCACATGTCATTAAAAAATATTAAAATAATTAATTAAACAAAAAGTTAAAAAAAAAAAAAACCCATCCCTTCTCCCTCTTCCCCCAACCCAGAAGAAGAAGAAGAAGAAGAAGGAAAAAAAAAAAAAAACAATCCCGACCCTAACCCAGAAGAAGTAAAAAAAAAAACCCAGTCTCGCACCCAACCTAGAAGAATAAGAAGAAGAAGGAAAAAAAAAACACAAACCTAGTTCGTCCTTAAAAAATATTAAAATAATTAATTAAACAAAAAGTTAAAAAAAAAAACCCATCCCTTCTCCCTCCGCCCCCAACCCAGAAGAAGAAGAATAACCCAGAAGAAGAAGAAGAAGAAGAAGGGAAAAAAAAAAAAAACAATCCCGACCCCAACCCAGAAGAAGTAAAAAAAAAAAACCCAGTCTCGCACCCAACCTAGAAGAAGAAGAAGAAGAAGGAAAAAAAAAAACACAAACCTAGTTCGTCCTTCCCCCCCCCCCCCCCCCCCCCCCCCAACCCAAAACTTTCCCCAACCTAGAAGAAGTAGAAAAAGGAAAAAAAACTAAAACAAAAAAAACAAAACCCAGTTCGTCCTTCCCCCCTCAACCCAAAAGCAGTTCCATCCCCAACCTAGAAGATGAAGGGAAAAAAAAAACAGAAAAAGAAAAAGAGATCGGAGATCGAAAACCAAACCCAGTTGAGGATTTCAAATATTTGATCAAGAACAAATAGAACCACTTCTAGAATTGGGGAAAGAAAAGAGAACCCAAATAACAATTAGTTGAGAAGAATGGGGAACCGAGGTCACGACGGCGGGAGTGAGACTTGGCGAACGGATTGCAGAAGAGGATGGATGAGAGAAGGAAGGGAAAGGGTGCGGGATGCGGAATAGAGAAGGGAGGAAGAGGGTGCGGGGGGATGAGGAAGGGAGAGGGTGGGCCGAGGGGGTTGGCATTGTAGAGTAAAGAAATGGGGGAGGAAGAATACGAGAAGCTTTTAGGTTTTTATTTTTTTATATTTATTTATTTATAATTAATTAATTTTTATTTTTTTTTGAATTTTTAATTTCCACGTGGACACATGTGGCGCCCAATCATTGTTTAAATGGGCGCCACGTCATCAGTTAACTAGAGAGTTAACGGTTTGACTAACGGATATATGAGACTGTCCCAAAATTTACACTTTAGGTATGACTCTGGGACAAAAAAAACTTGATGTACTAAATGTTGAAAACCACGAAACATGAGGGTAATAAACAGATATTAACCCTATAATTAAATATTTTAACAATATGCATATTTACATGCGTATATATGTTTATTGGAGAAGGGATCCATGACACTGTGTTAATACTCTGCAACAGCAAGTTCATCTTTCTTGGTAATATCCATTGAATGCATTGCCGGATGAACTATAACACAATGACAAAATCAGAAGAAAAGTAGAAAATTACAGTTAAGTCACCTATCGAACGCTAGAATAAAAGATAAAAAAAAGTTAATAGTTTCTATCTAATCTATCCAGTGTTAGTATAATGTCAAACCAAGGCAGGAGATCTGAATTTCTACTTCTATATGACGAATGTTCGACTGCGCTAAGTTGCAGGTCGACATTAAGAAAATCACCATACCAGGGGATGGAAGGAATATTTACCCAATCTACGTATACAACATTTCCTCCAAAATAAGGAATATAGTTTTTTTTTTTGGAGTAATTAGGTTTTCATCCTTATTTTTACTACTCTATTGATTAAAACCTTATTACTTTTCAATTTTTGATCAAGGTCCTTTGTATTAATAATATCATTAATTATTTCAATAATAAAATATTTTTTATTTCTAAATATATTCATTTAATATTAAAAATGTTACAATTAGTATATTTATATTTATGGCTAAATTTTTTATCATATATTTTTATTTTTAGTTTGTACCCATTTTTAATTTGCAACCCTTTTTTAATTTGTACCAATTTTCCTTTCAGTTTTAATTTGTACCCATATATTAATTTCTTTTTGTGCCCATATTTTTTAAAGTTTTATTTGTATTGTACCCATATTTTTTTATTTATTTGTACCCATTTTTATTTTTGCTAAATGTACCCATTTTGAAGAATGTACCCATGTTTTGATACAATAATTTTTTGGTTATTTTTTATGAATGTACCCATGTTTACACACACACACACACACACACAATAGTATATTTATATTTTAATATTTTTAATCCCACAAATTATGGTTTTTTATTTAAAATCTCATTACTATAAACAACTATAAATTTAATTTTTAATTTAAAAAATATAGTAACGTACATAGAAATAAATTATCAATTAATTTCAGGGACTTGGATCAAAAATTGAAAACCAACAAGGTTTCAGTCAAAGATTATTCATAACTAGGGACCGCATCCAAAGTCTCCCGTTTTTTTTTCATATCTACAACCTTTTCATGCATAATCAACCCACAAGTCATATTTCTTTATTTCTTCATCCTATCGCTCTCTTTCACTTGACAAATTTGAGCAACAGAATCTAGAGAAGACACTGGCCCTGTGGACTACTAACCCTGCAGACAAAACACTCGCATTCATAAGCCACAATAGAGAAGTAGATGCTTCTTCGATCTAATACACCAGGAGTTCTAGTTAGAGACCTTCTCCCCTTGCTAACAGTTGCGTCACAACATGGAGGAGCAGCAGAACCCATTTTACATCTCTTTTACTACATCCGATTCATCTACATAGAGGAACATTATCTCAAGCAACCAGATCAACCTCGTTGCGCTCTGGAGAAGCTACATCTAATCTTATCATACTCCTATATTCATTTGGCACAGGTGCGCCTGCCTGCACGCATAGCTCCACCACAGCTGGAGCCTTTCCGTAATACCTGTTCAGGTTGTTATCCAGAGCAGGACCATCTATGTCGCGGACATGCCAAACATAATTCGGACCCACAAGATCGTCTATTGTTGCTTCTTGCCAAGCATGCAAACCATTACGAGATTGATGCTTTGAAGCCTTGCACATCCTCACTTTGTGCCCCTTGGGACCTACCTGAACCTCTAAACAATATCCACAAGTCTTCACACTGTATTTCTCCATGATCTTCTTTGCTCCGGATATCATCTCAAACCATGAGTCCATTGTAATAATACTTAACTCATTCAAAGACTTCCCCACTTTATCGCTCGGTAATGTTTTATCCACAAGGTTAGTATCACTCTGTGAATCTGAATTCCTCAACTCCTCAACATCAGTTTTAATATCAGAATGTACTACGAGATCAACAATCCCAGAATATGAGTTCCTATTCACATCATCCATTTTGTTAATCGACTCAAAATCTACAATTCTTCCTTCGATACTATATACAGGTCTCGTTCTTCTCTTTGTTGGGTACTTGTCAATCTCTAAACCAGCCTGTATACAGAGCTCCAAAATGGCAGGATTCGTGGGATTTCAAAACCTCTCATCATTCATGCCCAACTCTTGGTTTTCCAACACGGTCATAAAGATGGAAGCATTTAGGAAAGGAAACCACATGTTGAACTCCTCCCTTCCTCCACACTTGTGTCCCACTCCTAAAACTGCCGACATGTCCAATGTGAACTTCAGAGCAAAAGCTGAGAATAATTTTTTATTTTCTAGGCATTAAATACAGGAGTTAAGTGAAAAAAGAAGTGGTTTATGAGCTTTTCAGGTGTCTAAAGTAATTTCAGTGGAACAAGAGACTAACTAGCTGCGCGAAAACATGTGCATTACAACAAAAAGATGAAGCCGAGCAGTTTTGGAATCAAATAGAGATGGGAATGCTATTTAATGGAATTTAGGAGAGAACTTAATTTTTAGTTTTTATTATTTCCGTTATTTTTTATTTTATTTAATAAGGACTTAAAGGTCCATTAGAGCTAAGATTAGTGGTCATTTATTTGACCATTTCTACTTGGTCTTTTCAATGCTTGCCATGGGTTTTATATATAGAGATTGGTTCTCCATTATAAAGGAAAAAAGCCACCAAACAACAAAAAAAACACATCTTATAACATATAAGGCTGCGGCAAGAAGTGAAAAGGGAAAAGAGCTTTGGGGTTTTCTTTTATAGGGCTACGATGTAGCCAAATCATGAATACTTAATTCCCTTGTGGTATTGTTATTATCATGTTTTTCTTTTTTATTGAGTATCTTTTGTTACTCGTAATGCGCTTGATTTTTATTTAGATGCTTGATCACTATCTAGGTTTAAATTAGGTTGATTTGATGCAAGTTAGGGTAGATGCCATACTTAACTTGGGTTTAGCTTCTTGCAATTGATACCATAACCACCTATTTGTAGATGCCATACAATTAGGGTTTGTGTGATTTTCCAACGATTTCCATAGAGCTTAATGGGTTCTTACTTGTTTAAATTCATTTAGATGCCATAGAGGGTTAACATGTAAGGATACTTTTGATGCAACCAGATGCCATGACCGTCGGATAATTTAGGGAAAATTGATCATCAATTGGAGAACTACTTGAGTACAACATATTAAGGGAATTAAGTAGAATTGGTTATGGTGAATTCGGATGCCCTAGGTTTTATTTTCTTATATTTATAATTTTATAATTTCATGTATTTTATTTTTAAAGTTATTTTTCATTTTTAGTAATTCAAATCTTCTATCTTTTCAGTTAAAGCTTCTCCACTATAATTTGTTCTGAAAATATGACTTTAGCCCCTGAAACTCAAGTTTCTTTACATAAAACCCGACATAGTCTTTTTACCTGAATAAAACCCAATGACTAGGCTCCACATAAGCAAATTCATTAATTCTATTTGCCTTTACACATTTTGCATTTTTTAGATGCCTAAAACACCCCTAATTATAGTTTTAAGTATACATTAAATTCTATGCATATTTGAAGGGAGGGATTAATGAAAAAAAAATGCATTAATGTTTAAAATCATTGCATATTAATATATCATAACAAATTGTATGTAATGCTTCTGGAAAAAAAAAAGCACTAATGTTATACTTTCCTTAAGATTTTGTAATTATTTTTCAAATTTGCATAAAATTTGACAATTTTAATTTAATCTTGCCATTTTCTTACCCAAATGAAAATCTGAAAAGGCGCTATAAAATTTGTCCAGTAATAATACATGAAAAATAATTTACTTATAAAGTTAAAGAAATGTTATTTGATTCAACATAAATTTATCTATATTTTATATAATAATATAGGTGAATCATTGCACAAATATATATTAGGAATAAAATGTGCCCAATATATATATATATATATATATATATATATATATATAATGCATGCAAATAATTCACCTACAAATAAGGGAAATTTGGTTAAAAATAATATATCTACTACTTTCAATTTTCCTTTTTTTTTTACAAACATAATGTACCTACAATATAATTTACCTGTTGTTTAATCAAATAAAAAAATAATGTATCTACTATTTCATTTTAATGGGGATAATTTGCCTTGGTTTAGTTTTTACGAAATAATTTAGGCACTATTTAACTTGACCAAAATAATGTAACTACTATTTTAATTTACCTACAAAATAAATGCTATTTGATTCAAAATTAATTTACTTATATTTTACATATAAATATAGATAAATTATTTTTAACACACATATATAATAAAAAATAAAAAATGTCTAATGTATGTAATAATCTATGTAAAATAATTTACCTACAACATAAAGAATATTAATTGGTTTGTTTTTTTTTATCAAACAATATTATTTGATGGAAAATAACTAATTATACAAAGGATTTTCTTTTTCCATACTAAAAATGTGCCCATATTTGTTTATGAATATGGATAAATTCGTGTATATATATATATATATATATATATATATATATATACATGTTACTAATATTTATGATACAAGAAAGGAAAATTTTCCATATGGGGTTAATTATTGCTAATCATAATTAGGGTGAGTAATAATATTTATTAACATAATTAGGGTTTTGTGGCATAAGTTGTAAATATGTTGTAATAATTGGTTACATATTTGTCTACATGATAGTCTTTTTGAATTTTGGGTTTTATTTGAGTATTTACTATTAGGTGGGTTTTTGTTTGGAAAATAGGAGTTTCAAGGGCCTTTCTCTAAAGAACCCTAATTTGTTTCGATTTAGTTATTAAGATTTTAGAATCAATTCGATCCCTGTGAGACGATATATGTGCTTATAAGCTATACAATCATCCGATTTGTATATTTGCGAGCACTAAAATTCGAGACTTAATGAGTTTAATCTTTGTTATCTAATTTTTGCAACAGAGATTACAGGCCAGAAAGAGAATATAAACGTTAGGCAACGATATCCCGCCTGCATGATCAATACAAGTCAACCTCAATAACAAACTGTTCAACGCCTTCAAAAAATCTAAATCCAACTGATAGATGAAAGGAGATTCCCAGTGTATGTGAGTCTAAATCCACGATCCTAAGCAATTTGGACAAAAGAGGAACCTCAATGTATAGGAACGTACAAATTTGGTTGACTAAACAAAAGGCAACCTCTGGATACCTGCACCGTTGGACAGGAACAACCTGAACAAGTTTTGACAAGCCAAACAGGAGGGACTTTCGAGCTTGGTAAACTTGATGAGCTACCTCAACCAATTCAGGGACCAACAATCCATTATCAGGTGATTCTTCAAGCATCCTGCAAGGCTCAGCCTTCCGGGCTTCTTTCTCCTCCTTGGCTCTTCGAATCAAAACCTTCATGGGTGTAAGGTAAGTTCCTTTCTGACATTTTTTTTAGGAGGTCTTGGTACATCAGCATACAAAGGATCATCTGTTTCTCCTCCTAAAGTAAGGGTTCCCTCGGATGTAAAACACGCCTTTTGATCAACTAGGCAACGAATTCTTGCAAAATGACAAGGCTTCCATAATATTCTTCGCTGCATATTGTGTGTAGAGCCCTGCACCATTACACACAATTTGAAATATAAATGAAAAATAAAGTAAATCTAATAACAGTGCATTGGGTTATCAGGTCTCAACTAATTTCATCTTCCAAGAATGCAAGCATAGTTCAATCGATTGCAACACTTCCAATGTAAAACCTAATTTTTCGGATGTATTTTACAATAAAAGGATTAAAATCTGATTTGTTGAAAATAAAAACTATAAACTCAGGCAGCATGTACTTGAAATAACTTAGGTACAAAATATTTGATATCCATATGTTTTTTTTATCTATTATTTCTTTCATTCAAATATAGATATAGGGGTTTAGCTATAAATATCAACTACATATTGAGATTTGAAGTCGCTCCTCCCACAACAACAACAACAATAACAAAGCCTTATCCCACTAAGTGGGATCAGCTGTATGAATCTTAGAATGCCACAACGCTTGGTTTTGTGCCAAGTGTTCCATTAGATCCAAGTACTCCAAGTCTTTTCTTAGAGCCTCTTTCCAAGTCTTCCTAGGTCTTCCTCTACCCCTCGACCCTGAGCCTTTGTCTTGTACTGGACTATTTCAGGGACTAAGCTAGCTTGGCTTGATTTAAGCTAGACGAAGTATTATCATGCCGGCGTTTGACGCAAGGGTGGACTAAGGCTACAGTTTTTTTTTCTTTTAATTTTCAAAACATGATTATTTTGATTTTCAGATATTCTTTTCGGGCACATGATTATCAAATATTCTTTACCACAGTGTTCTGATATACGTTCATGGCGCAAAATAGCAACCCCTCGTTGTCATTTCTCATTACTAATAAGAAAACGGTCACCTGATAAAAGTTTGAAACAAATCCAAATAACTCACAACTAATTAAAAAATGAAATAACATATCTCCAAGTATTTCCCTTTCCGAATCCCCTACCTCAAAATTCAATTTGGTGGTGTTCGAGTTGAATCAACTTATCATAATGTTGGCCTACTTGCTCCACATTGACTTCATTCCTTCTAGTTGTATAGTACCTAGTATTTCAGTTTAACTCAAAGTAGAACCTACAGTCCCAACAATTCCTAAGCTTTGTTTCCATTGAGGCATTTTATCATACACTTTAAGCGCATCCCAAGTAACAAAAATCTCGTTAAAATCGAAACATAATTTATATATTATACACAATCAACTTATAACCTACTCATAAGAAATAATGACAAACAAATTGAACTGAAATACAACTATGCACTTACCTCTTTCAAATGATATTGTGAACACGAAAATTTTCTGAAACGAAAGAGACAAGAACAACGTGCACAAACAAATATTTGTGTTTTGATGATTTTGGGTTACAATCTCTCTCTATTTTGATCCTCTGATTCGATCTCCGTAAGGTATTGATTTGTGAATGTTTCGTTGATCCAAGGGCCGTCAAGGCTTGATCTTGGATGAACTATTGGAAGTTTCTTCAAGGGGCCGTGGGCTTGATCTTTGACGGTGGATTTGAGCGGATCTTCAAGGAGCCGTTG